TATCGTCGGACGACTTATAACTATCACAAAAGTATTGTTGCACGTAGCCGATACGTGAGAGATTTTCGGCATTGTATGATATATATAGTGTCCTTACTATAATAATAATAATAATAATAAATATAACGGTGTTTAGTATAATTTATTGTGAGGGGGACGGATGATATACTTGTTATAATATTTGATTGGACGCGACAATAAACCATCGGCCAAGTATCGCTGCGTAATGATAACAATTCGAGAGATATCTATAAATACCTACAAGTATCCCTGCAGTACGTATATTATACGTCATTTGAGCACATACTATAAATCTATAAGTAGGTACGATTGATTTCGCCAAATGGTTTGATTTCGCACTCGTTGAATTTTTTATTCCAGCGACGATTTTTAACTTTTGGATATTCGTTCAAATAATAATGAAAACTAAGGGGGCGGACAATATTTTTATGTGAACTACGTTCAACGAATTAAAAATGTTGATGGCGATAAGAACTAAACAATAACAACAATCTSGTCTGTGTCGTGTTTCAGGCACCGGCGGCGTGATCTATGTATACATAGCCGAGACGAGCCCGACGGACAGCCGGCCCTTCTTCCTGTTGATCTACACACTGTTCGTGGGCCTGGGCCTGATGACATCCGCGGTCTTGGGCGCGCTGTTCCACTGGCGYACGGTGGCCACCATGTTCGCCGTGATGTGCGCGGTCGGTTTCGTCATTCCGTTTTTTGTGCCGTCCCCGCCGATGTGGTTGCGGTCCCGGAAGCGGGAAGAGGAGGCCCGACTGGCCGAGAAGTGGTTCGGGTTCGAGCTGGACCGCATCGACGACCTGCCCACGCTTCCACCACCGCCTTGCGCGGCTGCGGCMATGGCCACGCTGAGCCGGGCTGACTCGACGGTTGGCGCGATCATGGACACGAACGTCAGCTGCTGGAGCTTATACACCGGGCCCACCGTCTGGAAGCCCACGCTAGCCGCTATGGCGTTCTTCTGCTGCCAACAAGCGTCCGGGTTCTACGTGTTGCTGAGCTACTCAGTGGACGTGATGCGTGACTGCCGCGTGTCCATCGACGGCATGACCGCCGCTGTGTACCTGTGCGCCGCCCGATTGGCCGGTACCATCGTTAGCCTTATGTTCCAATCGGCGCCCAAGCGCACACTAACTGCCTTCTCGGGGCTCGGCATGTGCGTGGCCATGTCCACCGTGGTCGGTTACCTTTACGCGTTCGACGGCGTGCCCGACCCACCGGCCACCGACTTCCTGATCGTACCGTTCCTGTTCTACGTGTTCTTCGCAATGTTCGCCGTGCTGCCGTTACCGTGGAGTGTGTGCGGTGAATTGTTCCCGATGGCCGTCAAGGGCACCATGAACGGTGTGCTGTACTCGTGCGGTTACGAGCTCATGTTCGCCGCCATCAAGGTGTACCCGATTTTGGTGGACAAGTTTGGCACCCAGGCAGTGTGGACAACGTGCGCGTGCGCGTGTTTCATTACCTCCCTGTTCGGCGCGTTCGTCCTGCCCGAGACAACTGGAAAGACGCTGAACGAGATTACCGACGGGTTCAGGTCATCCAAAGACAAGGCCCGCAAGAAGGTTGTCAAGCCTCAAATACCCTAGACCCGACCGCACTATACAGCTCCAAAGCCGGTTGTATAAAGTGTTATATTTAGTCRCCATCGTCGTCAAGCCGTATTCCCAATAGTAATAGTGTACGAAATGTCTGTACTAAAAAATCGTGTGAATATTTAAAAATGTATTTTGTACCCGGATATGAGCACGAATCGCCTCAATACTATTATTCCTGATACGGTCGTGTCATAACAGCAATAAAATAAATCATCACGGTCGAGTTAAATAGTCATTACCGTTCCGTATTCAACGCAATAATAATGATATTTGCTCCTCGAGACCGGTCAGGTTGAATGTACATAATAACGCGTAACGCCGTGTCCTATACGTGAATCCGGCGAAAAACCAAACAACTTGTATTTCGTTGCGCCGGACGCACCGCACTGCAGCGGGCGGAACAGCATGGTCAGAATAGAATATGCATACACTCACTGCGCTCGCCGGATTCACGTAGGATCAGTGGCGCCGAAGTCCTAAAAATCTAGTAGGGCGAAAAATATTTCAAGAGGCCCAACATCTTAATATCGGGAAAAATGGCATACCGTGGAGAGGAAAATGGTCAATATGAAGCGGYCCTATMTCTTAAATTTTCAAAATATGTCGGGCTATGGCCCGACCTTAATATAGGGTTCGGCGCCACTGCGTAGGATACGGCGTTTAGACTTGGCTAAAATACTATATTGACCCATTTCTTACGATTTAAATGTAATAATGAAATTACTGTAATACTGTAGATATAAGTCTATTTTATATCCGGGTAAAATAATATTTATACAATTGATGTCATAGGTATATATTATAGTTTATACTATATACTAATATATTATGTGTATATAAGTGTACATATTGTTCGTAGTAGATAATTTGTTTGTGTAATTAATATTTTTCATGTAAACTATAGATTTTAACGAAACATTATGATGTGTTATACTTATTCTGTAATATAATATATAATATATTTGTTATGAGTTTATGTTTATCTACTTACCACCTAATATATTATATGAGCTAGTTTACMCGGTATATGTCACTTTGTATTTAAATTTACATAATATGTTGTGTATATAGATTTTCATTAAACTGAAAAACGCTTAAGCTAATTTTTCATCAAG